TCCAGCCTGCTTTATCCATTTTAGAAGCTTTTCTCTTCAGTGGCCCCTGCAGCATTTTTCTTTCACAAGTTGGAGGCTTAACCGGGTGTGGTCTTGCCCTGGAGGTACTCTCTCCATTGTTTGAGTTTGAATCTCTAGGCCTCTCCTTAATCACTTTAATCTCCTTATCAATGGGATCCTCTCCATCACATGCCAGGGCTCCAACATTTATCTTCCTAGTGCTCTTTTTCAATCCAAACCATATTTCTTTCTGCCCCATTTGCTCTCTTTCACTGTAGATCTGCATAATATTCACCATTAATAACCCAACACCATTTCTATATTAGGCTGTCTTGAAATTTCTTCCACCAGAGAAATCAGTCCATTGCTTTTCAACTTAGCCTCAGGCAAGCTTTTAGGTCAGGGGCAGACTCCAGCCAGACTCTTTGCCAAAATATCCCAAATGCTACTTAAATCCTTATTTCCCACTGGAACTACATTGTTCCCAGCACTACTTTCTTCCAGGCATTTACTAGAATGGCCTGTTAAGCTCTGCCTACTGCAAGCTACCACTTTTCTAGCCCAAACTTCCAAAGTCTTCCACAGTTCTTCAAAACCCCACATGGTCAGGTTCTTCACACCAACAGCCCACTCTCTGGTACCAATTACTGTATTAGTCACTTTTCTGTTGCTGTGATAGAAACACTGACCAGAGCAATTTATAGAAGGAAGAGTGTATTTGAACTTACTGTTCAGGGGGAATTACAGTCCATCTTGGGGCGGGGCATGGCAGCAGAGGTGGCTGGAGCAGGAGCAGTGGAGGCTAAACTCTACATCTTCCAGCAGACACAGGAAACAAGAGAGCAGACAGAGATACGGCAAGGTTTAAGAGCTCTCTAAGCCCACCCCCAGTAGAACTCTGTAAGCCCACCCCCAGTGATGTGCTTCCTCCAGGATAGCCACACCTTCTAAAACCTCCCAAAACAGTGCCATCATCTGGGGACAAAATGTCCAAATACTTGAAGCCTATGGGGGACATTTTCATTCAAACCACCACAGAGGTCTATGAAGAGGAAGAGTCTATTCCCCAGTGACTCAGCAGAAAACTTATGACTGGTCCTTATGTAAAGTTTGTCATTGTTGGAACTGGAAACCACGCATATCCACAGCTATGACTGGTAGAACAGTAATTCTAGCACAAGTATGCCACATCCCTTTTCTGGCTTTATAAGCAGGCTGTTTGCCACTGTTTGAGGGTAGTCTGAGAGGATTCTCTTCTCTGTGCTGTCCCCCTCTGTTGCAACATTAGAAGTCCTCTCCTGCATGGTCTCTTAGCTTACTTGCAGTCTATATGGTGGGTAGAGCAGGTTAGACTAATTGTATAAAGAGCAGAGAAGACCACCGGGGCTTCTAGCTCTGGCAGTCACAGTAGCAGCAGCAGTAGCAAGGAGGCGGCAGAACTGAAGAGTTCAAGAGAGTCAGCAGGAACTGGGGCTTGATACAGACCTCAAGCTATACCAAGGCAGCCGAGACTTCCACAGAGCCACCAAGGGCAGAATCTGCTGGAAGCTAATACTGTGAAGAAAGGTAGAAATTATAGGGGAGCCAAGAGCAGTGAAAGGCTGAAAGCTGGAGCTGAGAGCTTGAGACTGCACAGGGGTTGATAGAAGAGTTCAAGAGATCCACCAAGGGTTAAGGAGCCCAGAGTCCCAGCACCACCCAAGCTCAGGAGCTGTAAACTGGGGGTTGGTGCTCTAAGCCCAGAGCAATGAGCCTCTGCCTTGAGCACCTAAAGCTTAGATGCTTAGAATCATAAAGACCTCTAGTTACCAAGGCTTTATGCTGTAAGCCTCTGTAACAAAACACATATGCATATATCTAATAACTCAATGGTCCATTCCACCAATGATTAGAAACCAGAACATTCCCTCCATTTTGTGCTTTAGAACCTTTTAAAAAATTAAACCAAGCAACCTTTCATCCCTACTTACAGCACAGAAAACAAGAAGGGTGGCAGACAGAGCTGAGGAAGGGTTGCGATGGTTTTCAGATTCAAGTGCCTTCTCCCCTTTTTTTGGAATTCTGCAAGTTGTGCCTTTCTTTGATTGAGGAAATCCTCAGTACAAGTCCAATTAATAACCGTAATAGATGGATGTGTCGAAGGGTAATGGAATGTGCATACTCGTGATTCCCCTGTCAGCTCCTGACCTCTTGTGCTTTGCTTTCACAGGAGACAGCACATGCATTAGAAGCAGCTGCGAAAATCATGACAGAGAAAAATGAACTTGAACCCAATGAAATGGCATCACTTTCTCTTAAAGTGAAATGGCTAGAGGAAGAATTAAACACACTAGGCCGAAGCATCAGGTCCAGATCACAAGTCCTGCAAACTTACGTGGCATTTCTACAGTCATCAGAGGAGGTATGGTATGGTGCTGGCCTGCTTCAGAAAGATGGCCTCTGTCTATCCTCCTGCTTTTTAAGGGTATATAAGCTCCACTCAAGTGGGGAGTTTGTCTCCTCTGCCCAGTGCTTGTATTTCCTTACATGCCCTTTATTCTTCAAGGTACCATACAAAGCCTAAAATAGTAACTTATTTTACCCAAGAATAATATAAATTTTTATGTGTAAATAATATATTACAGCATGTTTCACATATACTTCTAGATGCTTATAATATCTTCAATGTAGAAAAAAATTACTATGAAAATGTTCAGGACCTGTTACACCATGGATCTCTTTGAATATTAAACAATTATTGTGATTTATTTTTAAAAGATTTTACTTTTTTGAATTTTTGCAAATTTCATACTATGTATTTTGATTGTATTTAAACCCCCTCCCATATCACTCAACAATCAAGAAAATGTCCCACAGATCTGGCCACAGGCCAGTCCAATGGAGGAAATTTCTTAACTGAAGTTCTTTACCCAGGTGTGTGAGTTGAACTGAAACTATTGAGCATACTACCCCTCTTCTACTATATTCCCTGAGCCCTCGGTGTAGAGGTTGCTTTGTAGATGTGTCATTTAGGGTTGACACTAGGGAAGACACTTATTTTCTGTTTGACCAGTTGTAGAACTTGATCATTAGTGATTGGTAAACAACTGTAAATATAAGGATAAATATTTAGACTATAGTAAGAAATTACAGTGGTCTAGGGATGTGACAAAAATAAGTTTTTCTCTAGAGTCTATGCCATCTCCAGCCATGTGTATTTGGGTATGTTTACAGTACCACACATGAGTTCCCCCCCATTGAGTGGGCGTTAAGTCCAATCAGACATCTGTTGATAGAAGTGTTACTACTGTAGCAATAGAGATTATTTTCTGGGCCAGTCACTGTTGTGGCTCTGGATGGGATCACTGATTTGTTTTCTCCCTTGGCAGTTTGCATAGTATCTTCTGATACTATGAGAACTTAGTCTTCAAGGAGGAGGCTTCCAGGTCATTTCCAGCTCTATTACTCTAAGTCCTGTATCTGAAGTATGTCCTGTCTTCAGCAATAGATTCTTACCTTCAAGTTCTGGGAGGCAATCAAGGGCTGTGGTAATAACCTATGTTATTTTGAGAGTCTCTTGTACTACCTTGACCAAGAACTCAAAGGGAGGCTTCCCTTGCTTGGCATTGTGTTTTTTGTTATATAGCCTTCAGCTACACACACACACACACACACACACACACACACACACAATATGTGTATTTTTCAGTAGGTTTTTGAATCAATACATTTCCCTTGTTTTTTTTCACACTACCTAAGCATTATTTATGTCTCCTCTCTTCCCCTGTATAGCCCTCCATACCCCTCCCCCATTTCCCCCTTGATTAACACCTGTTTCCTACTATCCCTCTCTGTTGAGCACCTTCTCCCCCTTTATCCCCATGTTTCCTTTCCATTTTCCTGGTTCCTGTGGTTCTATCAGGACAAACACATCTAAGGATTTGGAGCTAGGATCCACAAATGAGATTGAACATATGCCACTTATTTTTCTAAGTCTGTGTTACTTCACTTAGCTTAATAGCTTCTAATTCTATCCATCTACCTGCAAATTTCATCTTTCTTTACCACTGAATAGAACTCCATTATGTAAATGTACACATTTTCATTATCTATTCATCAACTGAGGGGCATTTAGGTTGTTTTCACTTCCCAGCTACTGTGAAACAAGCAGAAACAAACAAGGCTGAGCAATTATCTCAGTAGTGGGATATTGAGTCCTTTGGGTATATGCCCAGGAGTGGAGAGCTGAATCCTATCTGACCACAAAGAAATAAGCTAGCTATCAGCAACAATAAAAATGGGAAAAGGACACAAATTCATGGAAGCTAAACAACACATTACGGAACAAAAATTGGATCATGGGAGAAATGAAGAAGGAAATAGAAAAATTTCTTAGCCCTGAATGAAAATGAAAACACAACATACCAAAATCTTTGGGACACAATGCAGGCAGCCCTAAGAGGAAATTTATAGCATCAAGTGTCTACACCAGAAAATTAGAAACATCTCATGTAAATAAATTAATGATGTACCTGAAAACCTTGGAAAACCAAATACAAAGAGTACCTAAAAAATTAGACGGGAAAAGATAAATAAAATCAAGGCTGAAATTAGTGAAATAGATTAAAATCAAGGCTGAAAATAGTGAAATAGAAACAAAGAAAACCATACAAAGAATCAATGAAAGGAAGAGTTGGTTTTTTGAAAAGATTAACAAGATTGACAAACCTTTAGACAAATTAACTGAGAGAGAGAGAGAGAGAGAGAGAGAGAGAGAGAACCCAAATAAACTCAGAGATGAAAAGGGAAACATTACAACAGACCTGGAGGAAATTCAGAAAATCATAAGGACATTCCTTAAAAATCTATAATCCACTAAACTAGAAAATCTAAAAGAAATGGGTATCTTCCTGGGTTGGGGGCCAAGGTACACTACGTAACAAAGCCTCTAAAGTTAGGTACCATGTTTGGCTTCAATTTTCTCACCTCTACCTTCCTAATCACCACACTCTGTCCTCCTTCTACCACCCTGACAGTCCACATCTCCTCTGTCCAACCTAAAGTCTTCCCACTCTGAAGGAAGCCATGCCATGTTCCTGAAAGCACCAGGTACCCACTGTGTCCTTTTCTACAGTTTTTCCTCCACCGCCTGTCATTTCTGACTTCTGGATCCTGAATACTCATGATTCACAGTCATATTATGACTGATAGAATTGTATTATTGATGAGCATTTTTATTTAGAACTTGATGGTACAGAAGCTACAAAGCAATGCTTGCTTTCTGCATCTTCGTGGCCAAAATTATACCTGCTTAGAATTGTGCTAGGCATCTCTTTCCATGTCCCACTCTAGCCTTTGGTCAAGGAGCCTCTGCAGAGATGACTCCTTCTATAAACACTTCCTCAGAACACCCTCCTGTCCTTCAACTTCCTCACTTTTCACTGAATCTCTTTTCCGATCTGGCTGAGCTTTCTAGCCTAATCCTGGCACTGCTCCCGATGTGGAGTTCCCCTTAAAACTCTGGTCTTCCCTTTTCGCCTTACCGGTTCACGGTTATCCATTCTCATTTCACTTTCCTCACCCCCAACTCCATGCCTTCCACTCATAGGAACCCTGCCAACTTCCAACACTTGATCAGTCTAACACTCTGTTTACCCAGCTTCTCTGTCCAAGCTTCCAGATGCTTCTCCAGAAAAAGACAATTGTGCTGATTGGTGCTGTCACTAAATTATGAGTTTTATTTTCAGCTGGGCCCCCATATGCTCTTTTGTTGGCTCATAGTCCTTGGTGATTCTCAAGCACCTTGTCCCAGTTTCTATCCCCATATCTCAGCTGATGTCCTTTTACCTCAAATGCTGTGGAAACACTAAAGCCGTTGAGACTCCCTGTCTTGACATCTCTCTGCTTTGAAACTAAACTTACTGATCTATTCACCGATCCTTCTCTGCCTTCAGTAAAGTGATCCCAGCCCTGTCCAGGCTTGGTCAGTAATAGTCCTCCCAATGGAGTCCACAGCACTTGAAATCTAGCTCCAGAAACCATCTTTTTACTCTTCAAACCTACCTTTTCTGTCACTTATTTCTGTGTTCAGTCTATAGTTACGTCCAAATGGTCCTGTTCTTAGCAAAGTTGACCCTCTGTAATTGTCCTGCCCTTCAAAGTAGCTCTTAGAATGAGAATATGGCATTTCTCCTTGCCAATCCCTGTTCATCCTCTATATTCTTCATCCTACTGCACGTCACTTCGCTCCCTTGTCAGCCCTTCCATGTATCACCCCTTCATGGCACTGAAAATGCTCTGACAAGCTACTCACCATGAGCAACTGAAAATGTTCATTTTCTGTCCCCATCCTGCCTGATCTTATTTAACCAGATTACCTACTCTCATCTTATTTGGCTTTTAGGAAACTTCTTGAGGTTTAATTTTTCTAACATAAAATATTCACTGTTTTACAGTGCAATGCTTTTAGTGTGCTTATTGAATTGTACAGCCATTGAAGCATTCCATTTGAGGATGGCTCTGGCTCCTCACAAAGAGTCCTAGTAATTTTTGTCAATTCTGACTTCAGTGTCTTTTCTAATCCTTCTCTCAATGGGCCAGGCCCCATGCTTATAAAGTCTGACTTCATCATTGTGCCCTCACAGTTCTGTGTCTTAATTGCCTAGTATTTTCACCATTTTACAAGTGAGGAAAACTGAGGCTCTGATAAGTCTTAACTTGTCAGCTAGTAAGCATCACAACTAGTTTAATCACCACTCCCTTGCCCTTCTCTTTCTGATTTCAGGAGCCACACCTTCCTACGTCTGTCTAAAGAGACAGCCTCAGAGATTTCTGAACTCCCTTCTCTCTACTTGGTGTTTCCTCAATCCAAGTCCTTATCACCTCTCATCTAGCATAATGAGACTGTCTTCTGCCTGTTTACACTTCCTCCAGCAAGTTCCCTTTCCCACCGTTTCTTTGGACGGTGTGTGGAAGTCAATAGTAAATTAGATCATGAAATTAATGAACTTTCTTCCTAAAATTAAAAAAATTAATGAGCTAAGCAAGTTGCCAATAACTTACTACAACGAATAATATATGATAGTTTATCATTGATTTATCTGTAATTTTAAAATGCATTTGTTTATTTATTGTAGGGGTGGTATGTGAGGGTGCTCAAGTGTATGCATGTGGATACCAGAAGACAACTTGCAGGAATCCGTTCTCTCTGTCCACCATGTGGGTTCTGGGGATCAGCTCAGGTGGGCAGGATTGGTGACAAGCCCCTTTATATACTGAATCATCTTTCTGGCCCCTAAATCATTCAAAAAATTTTATAGATTTCAATGAATTCCTATAATGGCTCATCTTCACTCAAGGAAGACTTTTTTTGAGCATCAGAAAAAGAAGATGAATTAAATTGTGTGTTTTGAGGGGCTGGAGAGATGGCTCAGCAGTTAAGAACACTATGTGCTGTTCTTGCAGAAGACCCAGGTTGGACTCTTGGCATCCACATGGCAGTTCACAGCTCTCTGTAACTCCAGTTCCAGGGGATCCAGTGCCCTCTTTTGGTCTCCACAGGCACTTGCATGCATGTGGTGCATAACACACATAAAATAAAAATAAATCTTTAAAAAAATCTTGCAAGACTTTTTATGCTTTTCGCTTAACTGCCATCATTTGACACCCCTGCTTGTAGCGTAGGACCCCACTGGAAGCCTGTGAATGTTGTGCTGGTGCTGAGTCACTGTGGTGGCTAATGGCTCTGTCAAGCTAATGAGACTATGTCACAGTATGTTGTTTACAGTTGAGAGCAAGGTGAAACCTGCTGGCCAGCTTTATCCCACACTATCATCCTTCTGGCCTCTTTCTTACCACTCAGGGTGAACAACCGGACTTCGCTCATACTCGCATCATTTATTTTCCCCAGTACCGCTAGTGTTTTCACACTTGGGCTTTACACCTCTTGTTCCTTCCATCCAAGACCTCACTTCTATTCCCTCTCACCCTGGAAAGTTCCTCTTGAAGAACCAAATGTCACCTCCTTTGGAAAGTTATTCCGTGCTTGCTTACTCTATACAGAATTGCTCTTCTCCCCTCCCTGTCAGTATAACACTGAATGTGTGTGTAGAGACTTGTCTTTATGTTCTAACAATGTGATTATTGGTCTTTTTCTCCCAGAACTAACTTTGGATATCCAAGTAAATGAAAAGTTCTTAGTAGGGAATCTTCGAAGGCTCCATGAAAGAGGTAGCCTTTTTTATGGTTCATTAACAATAAATAGAAAAAGAGAATTAAGGAAAAGCTCAGATTCTCTGAGTCTAGGCAACAAGCATCAATAGAATAAGTGGAAAATAGAAATTTGGGGAGAGCTTCTGATTCTGAGAGCTATTTTCAGGTCATCCTAAGTTCATTTAAATGAAGAATGATGTTAAGATCTTTAAGTGCAGTGGCTGTTGTTTGAAATGTCTCACTGCATTTTCATTGTTTCTGTTGGTATGTCCCCCAAGTCTTGCCTTATTAGCCATTAAAAATTATTCAAAATGATAAAAATTTCTTCCAAATGCTTTCAACTAATTCTATATTCCCCATTACTTATTAATCTATGGTCATACATTTGATTTTATATTAACTCTGCTCAGGAGGGTAATTTAAAATAATTGAGTACTGCTAACATTGGTTAGCAAATGCTAAAATATAGTTCTAGGGAGGCAAAGTAATGTATCTTAATAAGATTAACTTGTGGTGTAATTTAATGCTTACACAGAAAATTAGTAATCATTTATACTTTTTTATTCTGGTTCAACACTGATTAGAAGTAAATTGTATAGTGGAGTGCTCAGTCACAAATGGGACATCAGTATCACACCCTGCCCCCCCCCAAGGCTCGGAGTGGGTGAAAAGATTGTAAGAACCAGAGGAGGACTGGAGCAAAACAGTGCCCTCTGGACATGACAAGACTACTGCACTCATGAATTTTCAACAGCTGTGGTTGCCTGCACAAGATCAAGCCAGTCAGCATTCTAGCAGACCTGGGTTCCAGTCTCAGCACCCACCTGTAGCTAAGAACCATCTGTAATTCCAGTTCCAGGGGAATTTGACACCCTCTTCTGACTTCTGTAGACATTGCACAGCATGGGGGCGCTTGCATATATTCAGGCAATATACTCATACACATAAAATAAAAAATTAACACAAATAAAAAGGGGGATATTATAATATAGTGTCCTAATAGTCTTTTGTTGACTTTTTTCTGATTTGTATTCCTTCATTTTTATATGTGCTTTTAAAAAAATTATAAAACTCATTTTTAAACAGGACCACTTGATCTTTGACACAAATTCTTCTAATTGTAAGTGTACATAACCATATAACATATAAATATAATCTGGGGTCCAATAAATATTTCTCATTGATGGTAGACTTATCGGCCCAATTTACAGGTAAGATTCCTATCTGTTTACTATCTACATAAATTCCCATGCCTATTTAATAACTTGAAAATATTCAGTGATTACTTAAAGAGTTCTGAGAATGTAGTTTCAGTCTAATTTTATGCGGCATCAACTGGAATCTAGTGTTCTTTTTATTTAAAAATATCTTTGTGTTCCTCACTCTCACTTCTCTCCTGTTTTAGATGGAGAAGCAGCTTCAGAGAATAAAAGAATTTTATCAGGCTGAAATCCCTCAGGAAGAGGAGGATGAGGCTGAAGTCAAGCATCGGTCTGACTCCGCTGAGAAGCAATGGCAGCTATTTTTAAAGAAGAGTTTTTTAACCCAAGACTTAGGACTTGAGTTCCTTAACTTAATGAATAAGGTGAGAACAACATGGAGTCACACTTTCTCCAAGAAGATTATTCCTCAAAGTAAAACTCAAAAATTCAAAAATCAGCTTGTCTATTAATCTGTAGTGCTGTTTGAGGGAGCTCTTACCTTCATTCAACCTAGACCAGTTCTGAAGCTCAACATTTACACGCATTCTGGGTCTCAGGGCCCCGGTGATTCACAGTAACAGGGTCATTTTAGCTATCAAATGTGATTCTGATTGAAATGCAATATGGTTATTAGGAGTCCTCAGAAGTCTACCACAAAGTTCTGAGTTCTGTTGAGTGCACACAGTGAGTTCTTATGAAATGTCCAGTGCCTAAAGACAGTGACTATGATGAATCTTCATTTTGAGGACTTTCTTCTTATTTTAGCAGATCCTTTTTTTAATTTAAATTTTTAATTAGCTTACAAAGTAGTAATTTTCCATAATTGAGTTTTTTCACACATCCTTAATTTTGGTTAACCCTCCCCCGACCCTCTGTTCTCTGCCATTTTCCCATCCCCATCCCTGCTTAAATCTTTCCAACCCAGGATTCCCTCCCTCCACTTTCATGTTACATCTATTCCACTATCTCCTCCCTGAAACCTCCCCCATCTTTGTAGAGTGAAGCTCCATTGCATTTAAAAAGCATACCTAAGCCTTGGTTGTTGTGAGTTATATAAGTAAAATATCCTAAGACCCTTATGTCTACCTCTCATCCATATGAAGCTGCCTATAGAATTTTTAAAAGACAGGCCACCTCTCCTTCACTACCTTATGAATCTTCTGAATGAAACAGCTCATTTCATTGTTGGAAAATGCCAGCTATTAAAAAGCTTATGTTTTAAAAAATGTTAATTATGTCTTCATTTCTGGCCCTGAGCCTCTTGTAACTGAACAGGAGTAAAAGTAATATTCATTGGTAAATTCTCTTACATGTGAAATTCCTTCCAGTATTGAAAACAGTTGCTATGTCTAATATGAGGGGTTTTTTTTTCTACAGCTTAAAACATTCAAATCTATCATTTTTGAGGTAGCTTAATTTCTTTCTTTGTTCTGACCCACTTTACCAAAAATTTCTACCACCAGTTAACCTCATTCACAAAATGTAATCAGAATGTGAAGCACAATAAACCAGACATTGTTCTTGGAACTGTAAGATGCTGGTAACATTTTAGCAACAATTCTTCTTGTTTTCTTTTGCACTGAGATACAGTACTGCTTGCACGGCCTTTTCAGTGTGGTCAGTCTAGTCAGGTCTCTCTCACATTTTATCTGTCAGCTAATTTAGCTTTTTCATAAAGATGTGGGCCTATATACTTATTCTTGCTTGATTTAACTTGGCCTGAACCTGTGATTCCATCTTTTTAAACTAATTTGGATCTAGTAATATTTTAACTATTTTTCCTGAGTATAATTCTATAGATTTATCACATAAACTTTCCATAGCTGTAATTAGTTCTTTAATAAAAAGCTTAAAAGGCAAATTGACATACCAATTAATGAAGTAATCTGCTGATTAACCAGTTTTAAAAAAAACAACAAAAAAACAAACCACTAGTGCTCTTAATAAACTTAAATTACTACTTCTTAATGCTTTAAATTTTATAATGAGAAACTCTCAAATACGCTGCTTAAAAGAAGGCCTATCTACCTTTATCTTACTAACCAATTAAACATGGTTTAGTGCAAACTATTTTGACTTCTAATGACTAAGACATTCTTTACAAAATACTCAAAGTACTTTGCAGTAAAGAATTTATTGCACTGGATTTCAGTGTGAAACTTACAATCTGTATATTGTACAATATCCTTTTTGAGAATCAGGACATTTCCTTTCTCTAGTTTTCTAGATCTAATTCCTATCTATGTTCAAAGATGACTGACATTTGCAATTTTATTGGTACCTGGGATGTTAATCTGACTCTGGAGACAGAAATCACATGGCAGAGCCAGGCTGTAGTACCCTCATCTACTCTGACCTATAATCATCTTTTCAGTTTCTTTGTTTCGGCTTCTGTTCTTTGAATAATACTGATGTTGAGCTTCTGTGAAAACAGAATATTCATTAAATAGTTCCAAATTATCTAACACTGTCCTTAGTCATCAGGAAAAACCTTGCTAAACAATTGATTCTGTGTTCCTATATTACACAGGCACTTTAGTATGAAAATACCAACTTACTTTTCATTTGGAACACTTACTACTTCTATCTTTTATCTTCAGCCTCCTTGCTTGGCTTGATATATCTTTCATTTCTTGATTAGATACTTCTAATTTATACTTACAAGGGAGTTCAAATACTTGCAGATTGGCTATTGTTGGTGTATTCTTTCAGTTGCTGAATTTTAGAAATCTTCCTTTTCAATCTAGAAATTCCAGGTGCTTTTTTAAAATTAGATTTAACTGTTGAGATTTTCTTTCTTATCTGCTCTTTATCTTTCCACACTTTCTTGACCTATAGTCATTTAGGGAGTTTAGAGTGTGTGCCAGTTAACTCCATCTTCTGCATCTATAGGTGTGCTGCTGTGTACCTTTTTTCTTGCTTTTTGATCATGTAGTCCTGACTTTTTATCCAGGTTGGCGAATGTTTTCAAGTGTCTAGCATTACATATAAATAGAGGGGCTCAAGGTGGTACTGTCTTCATGTAGAATGGGTTTCCCTTCTTTCTCCAGAGGAGCGTTGGTAGGAGCTCAGGTGAGCGAATGAGAAGTGGGAGGTTGATTCTGTAATGGGGTCCTGTCAAGGTTCAGTCCACTGTTCACTTTGGGCTCTTGTGGTTTTCAGCTGAGAGAGTGGATGCTGGTTCTCTTAGGTCTCTGCCCCAACTCGAATCTTTGTCTTAAGAAACTAGTGTAAAGCACCACTCTGCTTTCTAGAGGCTCATAGCTTAGATATTTTTTTTTAAACCCCTGTCCTCTAATGGATGGCTCCAGAATTTTGTCCATGGTCTTTATGAGAAGATCATCTGTGAGCTTCAAGTCTTGCAAGTATCTACCAAAACTTTGGATGGCCTTGGTCATCAGTCCTTGTTGGAGCACAGTATTAGGAGCTGTCCCTTGGAGAACAGTCATAGCAGGGGAGTACTGTCCCCAGGCTTAGCTTCTCTAGCTGGGCTTCCTTCAGATAGGTGCTCTCTGTATTTTATGCCACACATCTAATGTTCTAAGTGAAGCACCACTGTGCCATCATCTACTTCATTCTGCCCAGACACATAATGCTCCTTATTCCCTATTTATAATGTTTAAGAGGCTAGCAGGGGGACTATAATGAGTTAGAAGCCAGCCTGGGTTACAGAGTAAAAATCAGGCCAGCCTTGGCTACAGAGTAAGAGCCTGTTTCAAAAATCATTAACAGGACTGAGGAGATGACTGTTGCAGAGGACCTGAGCTCAGTTCCCAGCACCCTTGTCAGGTGACTCACAACTGCCTGTACCTCTGACCTCTTCAAGCACCTGCATTCACATGCACACCCCCGCCATACACATTTACATATTTTAAAATTATAAAAACAACCCTTTAAAAGAAAAACATTAAAAACAAGAAGTGTTTAAGATTGCATAGTCAGCCTTTAAAATCTGCAGCAGGAAAATGACCCAAAATCTTACATCTATGTCTAAATATGCAAGATACTATGAAACTGCAAACTCATATTTAGAGTTCCTAGAAACAGTTCATCTAAACGCTATGTCTTCAGAGTCTTATATCTTGATATCACCAACATCGTCATTTTAAACTCTTTGCCATTGTCAAGTGATAAGTTCTTTACTGATGAAAACTTAAGTTCACATAATAATTGGCTTTAGATTTAGTAACATTCTGATTGTTGATAAGGCATATCTTCTCTCTTCCTCTCTGTAGAACATTGGGCTTGTGGCAAACCTTGTTGAAATATGGTGAGGTTTGGTTGGGGAAGGAAGGGGACAGCTGCCACGTTTAGTTGAATGCTCTGTTTTTGGATGTGTTGCTGTGGCTGATATCTTCAAGCTTGAAATTGAATTTTTTTTTTCATCTACAAATCATCAGAATCAGAATAATTGACTTTAGCCAGAATTCTGGCAGCTGAAAATGTCAATTTATTAATTTGTAGTGGTGATTACAAAGAATTCTCTCCAGGACCGGCCATCCCGTTACCAAGGCACCTGGAAAGAAAGACATCAGAAAACAGTTTGTAGTGCATGAATATAAATGGCAAATGAATGATTTAGTGGCTTATATAGACTTTATTATTATAAATTTTTCCATTCCCTGAATAGAAATAACACGGGAATTATGTTACCAGGTAGACTGCAGGCAAATTATTTAATCTTCTGGAGTGGACAAAATACTAACCCTGCTAACCACAAAAACCACTTTTCTTAGGTTCTGCTGGCTAAACATCAATAAGTCTTGCAATAGTTTGCCTCCTCTAGACCTTAACTCAGGCCATCATATCCCTCTGACTACAGTTGTCATTGACAAAATGCAATTTATATCTTATATTAAAATGGAATTTATGAAATAAAATGATGGAACTTTTCATAGTTTCTTAATAGTATGTAAAAGATAGCCTAATTTTATTTATAAAATGTGTAAAAACACAATGTAGAATTGTTCCCATTGTAGTCATCTAATATTTTCCATTATTTATTAAATATTATTAATCACAATTGCAGAATATGTCATTTTATAACTAGTTCCCCCCAAAGCATTCAAACTCTGCTTGGGTCTTTAAATACTCAGCACCTGAGGGTCAAGCAAAAGATACGGGTCTGAGCACAAATCGTGCCTCTGCACAAGAACTCAGGCTTCTCTGTCAAAACTGTGTCTTGCTTTGCTGTGGCAAAGGTACTTACCACCTCTGATAGTTGGGTGCAAAAAAAAATTGTGTCTTGTAGGAAAGAAAACCATAATATGGATTATTCGTTTAACAGGCAAAAGAGAATGAGATATTGAACGTGAAGAATGAAATGCACATTATGAAGAATGTTATAGAGAATCAGATGGCTAGAAGGGAAGAACTCAGTTGCCTTCGGATGGCGTGGCACCTTAAAGCCACGGAAGGCACACCTGTGAGAGCTCAGTGGGGAGCATTCAAAGAGAAACTTAAAAAGGTAAGAAACAGGCGGGGCAGGGGCTCAGTGGTAGACTGCCTACCTAAAATGCATGAGGCACTGAGTTTGAACCCTAGCACTAAGAAAGAAAAATGAAAGTAAAATGTTACTCAGCTTAAAAAGAAGGAGCTCTGATACATGTGCCATGATAGAACCTCAAAACCTTTGTGAAGTAAGTCAAGCACAAAGAGATGGATGCTGTGTGGCTACACTTACTTGCTGTGCTTGGAGCCAGATCCATAGAGACAAAAGGCAGAATGGATGCTACCAAGGATGCAAGGAGGAAAGAGGGAACGGGGAGCTGTTTCACAGACACAGAGCTTCTATTCAGGTTGATGAAAACATTCTATAGATGGATGGTGGCGATGGTGCCCAGCAGTATAAATGTCTGAAAGCTGCTTAATTGTACACTTGAAAATGGTTAAAAAAAGTTGCATTTGCTATGATAAAAACAAGAAGATCAGAGGAAACCAAAGGCCTTGCCTGAGCTCCCTGGAGGCTGTGAGTGTTTTCAGGGGGTTGAAAAGCTTAATGGCATATGACGTCATCACTAGAGTGACCATACTTGTTGGAGGTGTGTCAAAGAAAACACATCCATAATTATCCAATTTTGTTTCAGACTACTCACAACTTAAAACTTCTTCAGGAAATACTTATGCCTGTCTCTGCACTTGACCTTGGAGGGAGCCTCCAGACCACTTCAGATCTTCGAAGAAAGTGGATTGAAATGAAGCCTCAGCTCCAGGTGAAGAGATAAATGGATTGGGGTGAATGGAGAATTTAAAAAAACCCTCTAGTTCCAGTTTGCCTAATTAACTTTCATGGTCTAGTAAACACCTCATTTTTTCTTTAAAACAACATTTTTTAATCTACAAATGATTGCAACAATACATTTTCTTACTGTTTTTATGCATGCTTCTGTATTTGATAATACCCAAACATTCAAGACACAAAATGTTCTAAGTATATTTTCATCTTAGATTAATTTAATTATATTAATAATTAAATCATTAATATATTTAATATTTAGTTACTGTGTTCTTAGGGAATATTTTAAATTGAGGCATCTCAGAATAGGATAAGCAACCTCTGACCTAGAGGCTCTGCTGCCTTTGTTCTCCCAAATCACCAGTGTGCTTTCTCTGTCCCTGCCCACCAATATCCCAGCTCCTAACTGTTCCCAGAAGTTTAACTGTGGTCTTCATTCACCTCCCAGAAAGCCCTCTGGAAATGAGAGATAAAGCCATGAGTTACCACTCAGGGTCCTGACTGCTTAGCCCACACCTACACCCCAAATCCCTGCTACTCTTGACATAACTGTCAAAAAGGTTGACCCTCACGTTATCCTTCTTCTTGGATGTATTTATTTATTCATTTATTTATTTTGGTTTTCTGAGCCAGGGTCTCAAGTAACCCAGGGTGGCTTCAGACTTGTTACATAGCCAAGAATGACTTTGAACTCATGATCCTTTGCCTCCATCCTCCACCTAGAAAAGTGCTGGGGTTACAGACATGCACCAGTGGGTTTTGTTGCAAAAATCTGCCACTACTTCATATGTGTTGGTTTTAAAGAATTGCAGTGTTGGATGTTTGGAGATTTCTCTGGGAAATATTGTCTCTTAAGACAAAACATACATAACATAAAAACACCACACTCACTCCATATGTACATCACCACAATCCATAGAAACTCTTTCATCTAAAGGCTCATTAAAACGCTGGGTTCTTAGCTCTCTGCTACACTCGCAGTTGCATTTTTTTTTAGGTAGACATGTTTCTATGCTTCTAGTGCATCTAAATTAGGAGTCAAACTTGTTTAGCTCTGTCACTGTGAGATGCATCTATCTGGTGCTCACATGCTTGATTTGAATACCTTGTGCAAGTCCGTCTTCTGAAAACTATCTTCCCAGGCTACAGCATTTCCTTTATCTTTTTTTGCTTTGCTATAAGATCTGCTCCTGAGATCACAGGAGCATCCTCTTCAAGTTGTCTGCCCTTTGCAAGCTCTCCCCCAGGATCTGGATCCCTGTTTGGGATATCTAAGCAGTACTGACTAAAAGGGGAGGCAGTTTATCCTGCTCCATGTGGTGGCTATTTGTAGGTTATGGGATGGCTGCTTTGAAGGGACTATCTGCTTGTCTAGTGCACTCAGCAGGTGGTTCATTCTGATCATTCCTTCATTACTGAGCATGAGTAATTCCCCTGATGTATTTTTATCCGGATCTTCTAGAGTTCTTACCATACCACACAATTCCATTCCATGTCAAATATCAGAAAAAATGCATTTAACTAATAGCCAGAACATTTGCTCTATCACAGAGACACATGACTTTCCATTTCACCTTCTAGCTTTGAAACTTTTTTTTCAAACATTTCTTACAAAGTTCTGAGCCGATAAGGCTCGAACAATGCATCATTAAGCACAGGGTCTGGACTTGGGGGAGTCTCCTCTTAGGAATCTGTCAACAAATGAGAGAACAAGTCCATTTAAGTCCAGATTCTTTGTTGTAAAAAAAAATCTCTAAGTTGGATTTCTTGTATTGCTTTCTATTTTTTTTTTTTTTTAAGAATCTGCATGATGACGTTCAATATATCATGAAGGAATGGGAAGAGCTGAATGGTAAGGGAGAGCCTGTGAAGGAGAAGTCTCAACAACTGAAGGACCTTATCTATCTCCATCAGAAGCAGACAGAGCAAATCCAGGATTATGAGGAAATCCTGTACAAGACCATCCAGTTCCACCAAGTCAGAGAAGAAGTAAGACTTACCATGGTTGTCTAAAAGATCCTGGGTTTTACAAAATGAAATTAAGATTTGATTATTGTGCAATAAACTATCTCCAAATTGCTTGTCTTGGTATTAGAAGTTCACTCAATCTGGTTCCTAGTTTCTGTCTCACTATACCTCTGTCTCGCTTTAAATGCCAGCTAGATGGAGCTCTTCTTTGTTCTTTCAATATAGAGCACAGGTTCCTAAATCCAAGCCTTGAGTATCAAGCTACCACTTCCTGGCAGGCCTGTCTCTGTTTGTTCTAACAGGCTCTGCACTTCCAACAATCCTCCTCCACTTGACGTGATCCTCTCTTCAAAATGCCTAGTGCAATCATTGTTTATTCCATACATTTAGCATCTTGATTCTTACTTTTTAATAAAATATATTTTATTTTCCTGCCTCAAGTGTTAGTTCTTTGAGAGCAGAGACAAAATTCTTTTAAATCTCAAGTACCTGGCTCATGGAGTGTTAAAAAAATATCAATTATTGGTTCCTTTTTTAAAATAAAACTTCATCATTATTAACATGACCTGGAGGCATAATGATAGCCCTTTAAAATAACTTCTGAGTTTACTCAGATCGTAGACCTAGATTTTGCTATAATTTGAGGTTAGGGACCAAGAAGCTATTTTCTTCTTTTATAGAACTGAAAATGTTAACTGATCAATGTAATCTTGTTAGAGCACTGCAACTTGTATCTGGCATTAGTCTTATGACTAATGATTATGAATGGGCTGAGGAACATTTCAACAAGCTAGGAAATCATCTTACAGAAAGTGGGCTTTGAAAAAAAAAAACTGTCTTCATATGAAGCCCAGGTTAATAGCTAATGCTCTAAATTTCAGCTGATGCATCTCATCAAATCAAGAGAAGTGGAGTTTCTAGAGCAGCCCAAGGAACTGGGAGATACGCAGGAGGTCCAGATGTACCTTGGTCGTTCTCAGGAAAAGCAGGCACATGTGGAGCATCTCCATCACCTGGCCCTTTCCATAGGAGTAGACATCATTTCATCAGTGCAGCGACCTGTAAGCGTCTCAGATCATCATCACTGCTGCCTTCCTCTCACTGGGACTCAGGCTGTCATATGAAGGAAAGAGGCATATTACTTCATCGATGTTAATTCTGAAGTGCTGCTTTTTGTGTGTGTGTGTGTGTGTGTGTGTGTGTGTGTGTGTGTGTATGTGTAACTGAGGATTGAACCCGGAGTCTCACACATATTATGCAAGTGCACTACTACTAAGCTAACCCCCAATCCCAGTATATTAAATTTAAAAAGATATTAAACAATTGAAATACTTATTAATGCTAAGTTTCTACCACTATTGATAAAAGAAAAACACTTAGGGAGAAAAATCTGAGCATTAAAATCTTCTTTTATACATTTATTCTTGTATTAATTTTTTTTTTTTTTTTTTTTTTTTTGGTCTTTTTGAGACAAGGTCTCCTTGTAGCCCCAACTGGCTTGGAACTTGCTATGTAGACCAGGCTGCTCTTGAATTCACAGAGATCTGCCTGCCTCTGCCTTCCAAGTGCTGGGATTAAAGGTGTGCGCCACTATGCCTGGCTATTCTTGTGCTAATTTTAAAGAGTATATCATAGAGTCACGTAATCCCCTATGGAAGTTAAGTTTCTGCATTTGAAATGTGTCTAATGCAATTAAAGAGCTAAACTTTCTTTTTTTTTTAATATATGCACAACAAACTTAGCATCTTAATCAGTTCTAAGTGTGCCAAGGAGCTAAACTTTTAATCTTATTTAATTTTAAACAACTTAAAAGTTAATTCTCAGAATAGTTGGAAAACTTCTAAGTATGTTGGGAGATTACGTGAGCATGTGACTCTACTTTAAAAACTGTAAATTTTGAGAAATTTAAGTGTAGATCAAATATTTTTGTAGAAATTTAGCAACAATTAAATAATACTCAAAGTATGAAAAATGCAACAGATTTCAAAGATGTTAGATGAAAAAAAATCTTAGCACTTTTATAGAGATTAGATGTTATGAAATGATGTTATCTGGATATATTTAGCCACGTAAATTATACTATGAAGATTAATTTCATTTATTTGTTCTTTGCTTTTTAATGAGACTACTGGAAAATTTTTTTGTAGCTCATATTGCATTGCTAGTGGGCAGGTTTGTGTTAGTCCGGCAAATCTGGCAGATCACTAAATCCTCAAACATAGTCAGACCTGCACCCCCATTTTATAGGGGAAGAAGTTGCAGTCCAGAGATTCTGGCTATTTATCCTTAAAAGCCCAGATTGGAGGGGCCAGGCACCCTGCTTGGGAGCGAGTTCTGGGTCCCAGTTGTTGGAGCTACATTAGGCTACTGGTCAGATGAGGAGCCTAAAAGAGCAGAAAATATGCCCTGATCAAAGTTTTATAACCAGTTCTCTAGGCTCCTGCGTTTTAAAAACTTTCTACGTTCATAGTTCGAGGGGAGAAACGATTATGTTTATTCCATTACTAATAAAACTCAGAGGCACCAATTTTATTTTAAAGTTAATTTAAGATATCCAATTATCTATAGTGAGCCCAAAGTCTATATTTTTAAAATTGAATGCAGAAATATAAGAATTTCTTGCCATTAATGGAATCCACTTTTGCCAGGATAAAAGCTTTCTTTTCTAAAGAGTTATATTATATTAGTAAGTTTATTTTAAAAAGAAAAAAGAAAGTAGGATGTCTCATTTTGCACAAATAATGTAAATGGTTCTCCAGCCGTCTTCTGGCCTTGGCCCTGGCTTCCCCTCTGTGTTAGGTAGAGATTGGAGCACTTGCATAATGAACCAGAGGTTAAACTCAAGTTGACGGGAAAATTATAGTGCTGAGCTGAGGCAGAATGTTTCTAATGCATATTTTATGCCTTTTGAAGTAAAAATTGGACCTTATCATAACTGGCATCTCTGAGGAGTTAGGGATGATGGGAGTGGAAATGTCTATTCTGTAATGCTGGGTGTCTGGCTTCTTTCTAAAATAACTATATTCAAATATGTTTAGAGTAAAATAAATGAACACCTTGTTTCTTCTTTTAAAGCTATTTGTGAGCTTCATAACACAGATAAACAGTATATTGTGGTGTGGCAATTTATCAGTCCGTTTTGTTGCTTTCATGTCTTTTATCTCCAGAATTGCTCTAATATTTCTGCAAAGAACCTGCAGCAGCAGCTAGAGGTCCTTGAGGTGGACAGCAGGGACTGGCGTGCCAAGGCCACAGAATATGAACAGGCCCTGTCCCACAGCTTGGACTGCTGTACCACAAGAGACGAGATCCATGAGGTAGGGCCTGGGAACTGACACACTGAACTGAGCTCAAGCATGTGTCTCAGTGTCCCTGTGGGCATGTGCACACACACACATACACACACACACACACACACACACACACACACAGAGTGAATCAGGACTTTCTTCTTAACCTTGCCCTTTAATTCTCAAAAGGTGTTTGACTAAACTTCACGTTCCCAAGTGTGTGGAAGTCACAATGGTGTAAATACATACAAAAACTTAGAATTCAGTATTATGGATTATGTTTTGGTTGTTGCTTTTCTTTCGGTTTGTGTGTGTGTGTGTGTGTGTGTGTGTGTGTGTGTGTTTGTCCTTCTGCTTGAGTGGACACTGCTTTTCCAGGGCACATCGGAAAGAATGGCACTGCCTTGTACCAGCTTGTTCTAGCCTGCTGCCATTCTATTTAAGTATTGTTGACTCATGGTGAAGGGGATACTACAGGCAGGGGAGCAGGCTCTTTGCTTCAGAGACTAAAGAGCATTTTCACCAAAGTCAAGTAACTGACTTCATGTTGACTCAAGCAAGTGGCTTTTCTGGCAAAACAACTGTTAGTGAAAAGGAAATGACATATAAAAATGGCTCCCCATGCCCCCATATCCCCACAGGCACAGATCCCCTTTCATCTCATCAACTGTTACTCATTCCCAGCCCCTGATGCTTATTCAGTCCCCACTACTCGAAATCTCCCAGTTAAGTTTTCCATTCATGGGCTGCGTGTTGGTGATGACGCTACTGAGCATAGTGTCCTTCCATTCATGGGCTTGTTCTAAGATTTTGTTGTTGTTTTCTTGGCTTTGTTTTTGTTCTTTTTGAGATAGAGTCCTCCTGTAGTCCCAGCTGGCCTGGAGCTCTATATGTAAACCAAACTGGGCTAGATCTCACAGATATCCTCCTGTCTCTGCTTCCCAAGTACTGGGTTTAAAGGTACGTGCCACCATGCCCTGCAGATCAATATTCTTGACTAGGAATTGGTAACAGAACACACAGGAGTAAAGACAATACCACATTTATCTCCATTAGAGCAAAATGTTTCTGCGTCCACTAGGAAAGGGGCTGAGGGAAGAGGCAGCTAACCTTCTTCAACTTTTGGTTTATGCCCCATCTGCATAATCTGGGTCCAGCAAGTATCAAGTATCATTAAACAACATTAAATCACAGGTTAAAGGATGAGTGATGAGTAATTAGCTCTAATGATGTCTGCACTGAAGTGCCCTTCCTGCAGGCCACACTTTTGCAGGCCACAGGCAAGTGCAAGAGAGAACATGCAGGAAGGAAAGTGGGAGGAGCTGTCAGAGTGGCTCCTGGGGTCCAGCTCAGCCTGAGCGAAGCTGGAAGCAGCCAAGCATCTGATAGTGATTTTCCTTTTAGCTTGGTGCTCCAGCACCCAGCACCACAGGGTTTCTGTTTATGGTCTGGTTAAAATTCTGGTGAAATTCAATGTAGTCTGCCCCCTATACCAGGGAGTGGCCTGGCCTCTTCCGCTTCCTGTACTACAGTTTGCACTTCTGTTCCGGTCTTTCTAAAGAAAACAGCCCAAGCTTGCTGGTCTTCCCAAGGCTATGAAATTTAGATTCAAGGCCATGGTACATTTTAAAATAATCTTTCTCTAAAATTTCTGCCTTCCGCTCCCCACACACACCTTTCTCCTTCTCCCTCCCTCGACACCTCCCTCCTCTTTTCTTCTTTTTCCTTCCTTTGCTTTGCCAAACATCTCCCTCTCTGCAGAGATGGAATGGCTCTGTATTTCCAGAGAGCAAAAGTGGATCAGGCTAAGGGTGTTTCCAGCCCCCTCTGGCTTCTATGTCACTGAAGAGCTGTGGCATTTATGAAACTGGGTCTCCCTGCTCTGGCCCTTCCAGGAGCTCTATATATAGGGACAGCCTCATGATGAACTTGCACTTGGAGCCAGCCAGCCCGGATGACAGATGATCCTTAGTCATAGTAGGGACGCCCCAGGATTGTCTGTACCATAACAGGAATGAGCAACCAGATCCACGTGGGTTTGATTTAGGAATCAGATATCATTTTAACACACTCTCAAGGACTAAGAAATATCCTTCCCTTTTGCTCCTTCTTTAAATCCAATTAATCTTTGATGTAGGTTACATTTTCACATTTGAAGGATCTTTGAAAACTTTGTCTTTTCACATTTTCTTTTTTCCAAAACAGGGGAAGCATGTTAGAGTATAGCAGCCACACACTGTATTTTCCAAACATAAACTTAATGGGAAAATAGTCAGAAAGAACATTTTCAATGCCCCTTGGTAAAATAAAAATATATCTATTGCTTTACTTTGTGTTGTGAATATCAGAGTCAACTCAGCTCCCGTGGTGACAACATTTGGCATCTAGTTATATTATTATCATTCTTAGTGTTTAGACACAGGTATTTAGAACATTAAATAAAAAGTAATGGAACCAAGCATGTCAGCACGTGCCTGTAATCCCAGTAGTTGGGAGGTAAAGGCAAGAGGAACAGGAATTCAAGGCCAGCCTTAGCTACAGAGCAAGTTTGAGGCTAGCCGGGGCTACATGAGAGCCCATCTCCAAACAAACAAACAAATGAAATGCAGTATGTTTATTTTTCTGGTTTAAAACATCATGTTTTGTCAGGGAACTAGACCACATGTACTATTTTATTTTTAAAGCTGATCTTAAAATACAATTTTGCTGTCAGTGTGCTTAAAGTACTTCTTAAAGGTTCATAGACATTGAGTTGCAATAAATGTTGAGGAATGTCTGATTTAATGTCTTCATTTTTGTGTGAGAAAACTGAGGTATGTGTATGATAGTCACTTTATTGATGCACTAGAAGCCTGCAGAGCTTCTGTTCATTGTCTTATGAGGTCAGCTTTGAGCCTGAACTTCGATCACTGGACACTAACATACTTGGCATTTGCTTATTCAGAATTCACCATTCACTTATTAGTCCCATTCAACCTCTGCATGGACTGATGTTAAATTTATCTTTTTCCTGTGTTTTCCTCTTCCTTGTTTTTTTTCCTTTCTTCTTTCTCTTTCTTTCTTTCCTTCTTTCCTTCCTTCTTTCTTTCTCTTTCTCTCTTTTCTCTCTCTTTTTTTTGACAGGGTCTCCCTAGTCCCAACCTACCTGGAACTCACTATGTGGACCAGGCTGGCCTCAATCTCACAGAGATCCACCTGCTTCTGCCTCCTGAGAGCAGTGATTAAAGGAGCGCACCACCAGTCCTGGCATTGTTTTCTAATCCATCTATTAATATATATATTTGCGATCTATCAGCACAATCTACTTGATTATTTCAGGAACCTTTTCTCCCTTACTATGCTGAAGTTAACTCAATGCTCTTCACAGAGGCTCTTACAAAAGAGCTTCATACCTTAAGGTAGAGGAGTGGCAAGTGCTCTAAACATGATTTTTAAATGAGGATGTGATTTTCTTTGAAGACACATAACAATGACTTTGTGGTTTCTTTATCACTGGGTATTTTTTAAAAAACTTCATGCATATGAAATTTTCCTCACATGTGCCCATGAGAAAACCCAACTGTCAAACTGCCGTATTTTATGGCTTTTTTGCCCATTTCACGCCAAGATAATTTATACGCTTAATTGTGGAACAGCACTACATTTTCTTCATTAGCTAGATGAATATGTCTTAATACACAAAACATTCTAGACATTTCTGCTGTCATATTACATGGCAGTGGAACATGGTCTATTAATGTTTATAATCTACATTTAGAAAAATAGTAACTTAGTAGGGGACATGTTTTCTTCTTGTACTCTGATCCCCTAAAAGTACCTTTATTTTTACATGACATTAGTGATGATTTATTTCTGAAGACTCATAATGTGGATCATAAACAATTACTCTGCTGAAAGAACAGCAATGACAGAATCTCAGCTGTATTCACTTTCTCAAAAAACGTTCACACAGAAGCTTCTAGACAATTATATTACTTACCCCATAAACTCTCCACTGAGCAGCAGCATCTTCCCTACCAGGCCGTGTGCAGGAAAGGATCCAGCATATATTTTCCATGCATCAGACATGCATCTCACAAATTCTTCTGTCACTTTGGACGAATCTATCATCTCTGTGCGCTCCAGAGACACAAATGTATTAGAAGCAGTAGATGGGAATAGAGGAATGGTGCTGCATCAGTGTAGAATGCCCGTGATTAGTACAATTCAAACCACTGGCGCTTCGCCACTGACTTTACAGCCATGGGCAGCTACCCGGGGACAGGAAACGGCACAGAAGAAGCTGACATAGATAGCAAACCACCCAGTGAGGCAGTCCTGAATTTTATTAAGAATAGTACAGACACGGGGCTGGAGAGATGGCCAGACAATAATTATTACCCAAATTCATAATCCAACTTATTTCTTTTTTAATTTTAAAATATTTTATTTATTATTATTTTTTGTTTGGTTTACAAAATTGTACAAAGCATAACACCATTTGCATACTCAAGGTCATTTCACAATGAAATTTGCAATGCTTCCATAGACAAATAGTCTAGTAAAAACTTCTGCCTTCGCCTCTCTTAATGCATTACTGCTACAGTCTCTTGTTTGTTTCTTTGTTTGTTTTTGGTTTTGTCTTTTTAAAAATATTTTTAAAAAATTTATTTAGAAGCAGCATTTCATTACAGCTTTAACATACTCAATTAACAGTTTCCAGAGCAAAGATACATCTCATTTAAAAGTGGCTATAAAATTTTTTAGGTTCACTGTTGAACCTAATAACTGCGTACTTAGAAGAGGCATTTCATTACAACAGCATTGACATATTCAATAACAATTACCAGAGCTAAGATGCATCTGTTTCAAGATTGGCTGTAATTTTTAGGTTTACAGTTGAATTAATACAGTTATGCAATATTGTACTCAGTATAAACCCTTTAAGACATAAAATTAATTGAATTAATACAGTTATACAATATTGTACTCAGTATAAACCCTGTAAGACATAAAATTAAATGAGGTTTTAACCTTTAAAAAAGATC